GCAATTGAAATCGACATACGATAAGATACCTTGGGAAGAGATAGAGTTTTGTTTAATTAGTTTCGTTTCCTCACACGTCAAACAACAAGAACTGAATGTATTTTATCAAATCGTATTAAACAAAAACAAAGTGCTTGATTATTTGGAGAATTTTGCACAAATACTCGGAAACGAGACGGAGCACGAGATGTTCACTCATTTCCCAAAAGAGAAACGGCAGGAAATTGTTGCAAAAATAATTAATAATTATCCTCAATTCGAAGAATTGTACACCGATTATGAACAAATTAGAGATATCTGCTCTTTACAAAAAATAAAGGATTACGTACAGTTAGCGTCATCGATTGATCCTGAGGAGAGACAGGGACAATTGATCATTACAAGAATTTTACAAGTCGTCGGGGAACATCTAAAAAATTCTTTAGAGTCTCCAAAGTTATCCAATTTTACGAACGAACTTCTGCTACTGTCGTTACCTAAAAACACGAGAAAAGTTGTTATGGATCTGCGTGACTCGCTGTCACATGCTCATTTACTTACGAAAACAGAAATCGAAAAAGATATGAATGTTAATTTTTTTAAGAAGTTTGGGGTTAAGGTCAATAATATACTTCATAAGCAGAAAATAAAAATCATCAAGACACTATTTGAAAAAATAGAAAACTGTCAGTGCTTGGATGAAATAAAAGAATTTGTAGATGCGTTCGTTAATACTGGCAATGAGTTTGATGTAATCGAAGAAGAGTTTCAGCCAATGAAGTACGGCGAGCTCGAGATCCTTATCAAAGAACTAAATCACAGCATAGCTGAAAAAACTGAAGACGAGCAAAGGCTTTTCGATAGAATCCAGTATATAATCAATGCGTCGAAAACAAACACGAGAAGTGAATACTTGGCGAGATTTAAAATGTTGAGAAGCTTCATCCAAAATTGTAGTAATAGTAAAAACGATAATAATACTGTTAGAAATATAAAATTCTTTGCCAAGACATTGAAGAACATAACGGTTCAAACAGAATGCGGCTTTGAAGAAATCTTTAAATTGTTGCGGTTAATTCTCCATAGCATCGAATTAAGAATTGCGGATGACGATTCTAATAAAATGCGCAGTATAATTTTTGAAGCTTTTTCCATTATTAAATTCGAAAGAAGCAATATTAATTGGATTGAAGGTCTGCAAACGAAATTAACCGACAAAGCTTCTTTTATTTCTGTGGATAAACGAATGGAAGATTGGAACATTAGAAAAGAAAAGTATAATAATGAGCTTGAGCTGAAACTATCTGAATTAGAAAATATCCTAACCGATAATAAATTAATTAGCAATTTAAATGAAAATCTGTCTTTCTATAAGAGCAATAAAAAATTGCAATCAGTGATCGAAATGCTTGTTTTAGATATAATATCAATCCTAGACAGCTCGACGGATTGCCTAGAAAACAATTCATTCTTTTTAGACGATAACTCTCCTTCGTTAACTGGAAAATGCTTGCGGAATCATTTGGCACACGACAATACTTTAACCAATATATTGTCATCAGATCCCTCGTTAAATGTTCTTTTGAATGCTAAGAAGCTTGTCTCAGAGAATATGTTGAAAAATAGAGAAAAGCTTGGCAAATCTAAGAAAGTTGATTTTATGAACGTGACACATAAGTACAATCAAAGCCTTACCACTATTGACAATCAACAGAAAATGTTTGCAGCATTAGAAAAGGGAGATTTCGAGGACTTAAAGAGTTGCCTTCGAAAAGGAGCCGAAATACACGCCAGAAATACTAATTTATGGACCGCATTACATTTTGCTGCCAAAGGACCGAATCTCGAAATCGTGAAATTTCTTCTCAATCACGATTTAAAAATCAACGTTAAAAATGCCGATGGTCAGAGTCCGTTACACGTTGCCGCTGCAAACGGAAGGACAAATATTGTAAAATATTTTGTAGAAGAGCGGGATTTCGATATCAACGATACGGATGATTATGGAAAAACGCCGTTGCATGTTGCGACACAAAGTAATCACAAAGATATTGTCAAGGTATTGTTAAAAAATGGAAGTAAAATCAACTTGCAAGACACAGCTTCTTATATGCCTTTACATTACGCAGTAATGAATAACTGTATCGATATGGTTAAGATTTTGATGGTGCAACCTGCAGATTTTAACATTATCGAGACAACGGATGATTACACTGTATTGCATTTAGCCGCGGAATTGGGTTATTTGGAGTTAGTTAACCTGTTCCTTGCAGAAAATAAAGCAAACGTTTCAGCTAGAGACAAACTTAATGTCACACCGTTACATTTGGCAGCGCTTAACGGTCACCTGGAAGTAGTATGTACTTTAATTTTGAACGGAGCAATCGTCAATGCCAGAAATATACACGGTTGCACACCATTGCATTGTTCTATCAAAAATGGTCATGAGGCGATAGCGAGAGTCTTGTTGATATGCGGAGCCGATGCCAATGCCAGTGATACAATCTATAACAATACACCTTTGCATTACGCTGCAATGAATGGATATAAAGAAATAGTTCTGAATTTGCTGGAACATGGAGCTAATACCAACATTACGACAATTACAGGTATAACTCCAATGCATCTTGCAGCCCAGCGTGGTCACTTGGAGGTAGTTAATATCCTTATTGATCATGGTGTCGACATCCACGCTAAAGACGAAGAGAACGCTACAGCACTATACCATGCAGCAATCAGAGGTCATAAGGAGATAGTCAAGTTCTTACTAAGAAGTAAAGCAGATCTTAACGTTAGGACCGTTAATGGTTTAACACCATTGCACGCTGCTGTTAGCAATAATCAAAAGGAAGTTGCTGATTTCTTAATAGAAAATAAGGCTAAAGTAAATGCAACAGACAAGTATGGCAGGACACCGCTACACACTGCTGCCGCTTCATCTCGTAACAAAGACGTTATCGAGTTATTGACAAGAAACAAAGCTGTAATCAATGCTAAAGACAAGAATGGTATGACTCCGTTACATATGGCTGCTCATAATGGTTGCATAGACAATGCTCTTCGACTCATCGAAAATGGAGCTAATGTAAATGCTAAAATTACTGGTAACGTGACACCATTGCATATAGCAGTTCAGGAAGGGCATAAAGATCTTGCTGCGCTTCTAGTAACATATAATGCTGACTTGAATATGAGATATTTCGGATGCACATCGTTGGATTTAGCGATTTGTAATGGTCACAAGGAAATCGTTGAAAATTTACTCGCAAATGGAGCCGTAATTAATAATAACACTAGGAATTCTACACCTTTTCTTACTGCTGTTAAATGCAATCAGAAGGAAATCGTCGAACTACTCATACCAAAGGGAACGAATGTTCGCTCACAGGGTAGTGAAGCTTTGGCAACTGCAGTTGTTAACGGTTACAGGGAAATTGTAGAAATTTTACTCAGAAACGAAGTTCCAGTTAATACAAAGTATGATGATTCTATATTATTACACTTGGTTACTACAGGAAGTCAAAAAGAGATAGTAAATGGATTGATATCACAAGCAGCTAACGTTAATGCTGATGGAAAGTTTAGTATGACACCTTTGCATCTCGCGGCATACGAAGGATATGATGGAATCGTCGAAACCTTGATAAGAAGAGGAGCACGAATCAATGCTAAGTCTATACATGGTACGCCTCTGCATTTGGCAGCAGCCAATGGTCACTGTAATATCGTGCAATTTTTACTGGATCAAAAAGCAAGAATCGACGTTAAAGATGGAAAGAATAGAACAGCTTTAGAATTAGCGGTAGCGTACGGTCGTTTAGAAGTGGTTAAGATATTGTTGCTGCCCAAGAAAGTAGACGTGAATACCAAATACAACTGCTCGACGTTACTACACATGTCTTCGCAGGAACTGAACTTGGAAATGGTAAAAATTCAGAAATTCGTTTTTAATATTCTTATGAAGTAACATTTTGTCACCAGAACCAGTTAAATGTGTCCTCAAGTTAAATTCCTATCATATTACAAAACACAGAAATACACATTTTAACCCATTTCCTCGCACAATAGAAATATTTCGAAAACTTCTCGCTTAGTGAGTACCCACAACATAGGAGAGTATCCAGCAGAATTAGATCGATACAATAATTTTTGCTGGGTGTTGATGAGTATGTCAATCAGAAAGCTTATTTGTACTTTATACGTTAACTCTTTGCGCCCGAGAGGTGTGTCTCAGGCACCACTCGGATCGAGGCGACAAATCGAGCGATAATGGTGTTTATTTAGATTCAGCCTAACGAATATCGCTTTACGAGTCTACTCCTAGCCCTTTGTGTCTAATCTTATGAGGTAATGTTTACAGAGATGTCAGACTCGATTCAGAGTCGTTGCTTATTCTTAAGATCGTTTTAAGAATTTGTTATCCTTGTCTATTCCATATTTTCAGTCCTTGTCTTGTACAGGGAATAGGGACAAATTATATAGCATATAGG